AACAACTTCTGAACTTCACATCTAAGTCTCTCACTAACATGGACACACTTTAGATTCTAAGATCAGGCTGTTTGAAATTTCATTGTCTGAACAAAGCTTCTTATCCCTCCACTTTTAGCACTTGTTCACAGACTAAATGTACTGTTTTTAATCATCATCAGCTGCAGTCAGTCAACCTCTCCTGATTTTCCCAGTCTTTCCCTCCAACTATGGCTGTTTTTTCCTCTCTGTCTTGGTCACTGTCATTTCAATGATTCACTAGCTATTCCTTGTCCTTTGACCTACTGACATTCCCACACAGCTAATCTTCAAATCTGGATAATCTCTGCTATAAAATTCTCTGCTTCTATTCCCATGCGGCTGACCAGCACTGTAAAAAGGAATGTTAATTTCATCTACCATAAATTTATGATTTATAACCTCAGCTGGAGCCTCATGGCTGCTTGATGAACATTTCATCAATAATAGATTCTCCAGCTCATTCCCCTGGGATGTTCCAAACCTCTAATATTTTTCTTAAGCTGCTGGGTCTCCAATCACTCCTAACACTCAGCACATTTTTAATCCCTTCTTTTCCTGCTTTCTTTCTCTTAGACTTCTAGATCAGAGAACAGCTGGGATTGAGTAGGGGTAAAGAAAGATTTTTTTCTTATCCCATACCTCCCAGGAGCAGTAATGGCAACCTTAAGATACCCACATGGAAAGCCTGAAAGGGAAGTTCCTAGACCTCTAGTTTCTGGTTACCATCCTCTACTTTTCTATTTCCTTTTCTGAGCACTTCACAGAGATTATAGTTCCTGAAAATGGATTTTCCATGTGAGTTTCAACATTCCCAAGAGATCAAGAGTTCCTGAATTCAATTGTTCAGACTAGTGCTTTTCTCACAAAAATAACAATAATAACATTAATTTTCCTTTCTAGAGCAAGAAAATTCCTCAACATCCCACTCCATTATGAAGGAAGAAGATCTTTACTATAGATTCTCCCTGAAGTTGAAAAATTAAAGATATGCCAGGGAAGAACAAGAGGCTTGAACCTTGTCAACTACTGCTAGTCTATGCCATTTCTGAGTCATCCCTTCATCATCTAGCCATCATCATCATTCTGTTCCAACCTGAACCTTAGATTTTACCCCTGGGTTTCTCAGCTCTGATAAGTGAGCTTTTGATCAATTTGCTGGGACCCAGGCCTCCACTGTAGTCCCCTACCATATCCTCACCATGCCTCCATCACAGAATTCCTTCTCCCTCTCCCACTTTCCAGTACCCTTCTACATGTTGTTTTCCTCAGTTAGAACAGCTTATTTGTATTTGTATATCCATCACTTAGGATGTTACCTAGCAATATGACATACTTAATTGTCTATATATCATCTATATTTCTCTTTCCCTCTCTCTTTGTTTCTTTCTCTTTTTTTGTTTCTTTCTCTTCCTTCATTCCTACATTCCTTCCTCCTTTCATTCATTTCTTCCTTTCTTTATTTCTTTTTATCTATCTCCCCTGCTGGCATTCTCCCTTTTGTCTACAATGGGTTCATGCCTCCTAAACCATAGAAAAGGCTTCCCTAAATCCTTCTATCCTTTTAAGCAATAATTTCCTCTCTCTCTTCATTACCAGATTCCTTGAAGTAAAAGTCTATAGGTTAAGCCCTGGCTACCTCCCCATCAACGTTGACTTCATTGTGCCAAGAGTTCTTTCTCTGTTTCTGTCTCTCTCCGTTTGTTTCACTCTCATTGTCTGTCTCTCAAGTCAACAAACATTTATTAAGCACCTATTATCTCACTAGGAGGCAGCTAGATGGCTCAGTGAATAGGGCACTGTGCCTGGAATCAGGAAGACCTGAGTTCAAATCCAGCCTCAGATACTTACTATCTGTGTGACCCTGGGCAAGTCACTTAACCTCTGTTTGCCTTAATACATTGGAGAAGGAAATGGCAAACTATTCCATTATCTTTGCCAGGAAAACCTCACAGTCAGTATTGGTGTGCTATGGTCCATGGGGTTATGAAGAATTGGACACGACTCAACAACATGTTATTGTCCTTGATTTTGTTCTGCCATTTAAATGCACCCTCCAGTTCAAGAAGTTAACATGTGCTCTTTTCCCACCCCAACAGTATTCCTGTTTTGTCTTTGTCACTGTACTAACAGAGGTTATTCATGGTTCTACGATCCCTGATCTCATCTTCTCTGTTTAAATTCTCCCTTGCCAATCTCTTCTACTCCCACAGTTTCTACTACTACCTCTATGCAGAAGACCCTTATGCTGAAATGTATGTTTCTCAGATCACTCTGCTGAGCTCAAGACTCCTATCTCCAGCTGCTTACTAGATAAAGCTGCCTGTATGCTTAACTAACCCCTCAAATTTAATATGGCCAAGAGTGAACTTCTTTTTTACTCAAAACCTCTCTCTCTTTTTGATTTTCCTATTTCTGTCAATTGCACTACCAAACATCTATGGTTGAAAGCTTTGTCTTGTCTTGGGCTCTTCCTTCTTCCTCACCTCCCACATCTAATCAGTTGCCAAATCCTCCTGGCTCTACTTCCACGATATCTCTCACACCTGTTCCTTCCTTTCTATTTCCATTGCCAAAAGAGTACAGGTCATTACTGCATCCTTCCTGGACTATTTCTTCCAAACAGATCTTCCCACTTCCTCTTTCTTCTCCATTCAATCTATACCTCACACTTCTGCCAGAATAAATTTCCTTGTGCGCAGGTCTGATCATGCCATTCCTCTATTTAAAACCATTCAATGTCTTCAAGATGTTCCATGGTTTGACACAACCCAATTTTCCAGATTTCTCTCATATCTGACACTTTCTCCCATATACTTTAAGCTCTGGTCAAATTAGAGGTGCAATTGGGGTTTTTTTGTGCATACTGTATGCTCTTCCGCCTGTGTGCCTTTGCCATTAGGTGTGCCTGGAATACTCTCTCCCTATAAATGCCTCAAGAATAAGCTCAAATGGCATTGATCAAATCCTAATGAACAAGTTCTTATTCAGCCCAAATTGTGTGTGCAAGACACTATAAAAGGAGCTTGGAATATACACATACAAATGAGAAAAAACAATCTCTGCCCTGAAGGAGCTTATATTTTACTGAGGAAATACATCACAGAAACAGATACGCACATACACAGTTTGAGGATGGAAAAAGCACTGATCACCAGGAGGAATCATCTCCTGCTTATAGTCTTCCTTAATCTCTTAGTTGGAAAAGATATGTCTTTCTTCCCTCTCAGAGATCCCCCAGCACTTTGCTTGAACTTTTCTCATACATTTCAGGTTTTGTATTACAGTAATGCAGAGCATATATCCTGGAGAAGTCTGGTAAGGCCCTACTGAATCCTTCTTGCATCTTCTTAACAAAATACAAGGTTCTGCTGGAAACATTAACTCATTGCCAAGGTGAACTCATCATTACCAAGGTCAAAGTAGATAAGGGTTCTAATTTTCACAGGATATTAATTTGCCTTATGGCAAATGATACCCTAGCCCTGATAGTGATTTTAAGTGATTACATTTGGCTTTTAAAAAGTAAGAGACATGAGATAGCTAGGTGGCTCAGTGAATAGAGCACTGGCCCTGGAGTCAGGAGGACCTGAGTTGAAATCCAGCCTCAGGCACATAACACTCCCTAGCTGTGTGACTCTGGGCAAATCACTCAACCCCAATCGCCTCACCAAAAAAAAAGTGAGAGAGACATAGAAAGGACAAGAGCTGAGAGACACCCAGAAAGGAGAAGCATTATATAAACAGAGACTTGCACTTAGTTTTCTGAAACGATGCCTCCAAACAACCACATGGTCCCAGACATGAGAACAGATATAGACCACATTAGAGTGTCAAAGGGTTCCTGGATTAAGGTGTGTCAACCAAGTGACAGCAAAAACAGATTCATGGTGTGGAGAAGCAGACTTGAACCTTGACCTTCACTGGTACTATCAGTTATGTGTACTTTCCCATTGTGGGGAAACTTTGAAGATAATAGTACTATAAATCTAGAAGGCTGTACTGGCCCATTATTGAGGTGGTACTCACTGGAGAGAGGGTCTTTCAATGATTCTTTGGAAATTTTGAGAACTTTCCTCTTGAAGGGGATGCAAGGTTCAATGCCATGCTAGTACAATAAGTTTGGAGTACTGTATGAGTCCTTTGGAAGGTGAAGCTCACCAAAGAGGGAAGGTCAGGTGTTGACTATTAATAGGTTCAAGATGCAAGTCTTCCACTTTGATCATGTTAAATAAAATTTGCCCTATGTACAATGTTATTTTAGCCTGAGTGCTTGCATGGAAACTAAGGGAACCACCTTTTTTTTTTTGTGCAGACCTAGATATGAGCCAAATATTTGTGTTTCTAGGGGCAACCCTGAGTGAGAGCATCTGCCAAATGTATGACTGGTAAGAAACTCCTAATACTGAACCCAGTCTTGATAAATCCAGACTCTCAGTTCTAGGACACAGGCTACAGTCGTTTATGTATGTGTTAAATTTTCCTACTACCATAAGCTCCATGAGTACAGGGATTATGTCCTAACTAAACATCCTATCTCCTTCAGAATCTAGCCCAGTGTTGCATGCATAACATGGGTTGGGTTGTTTTATCGCTTGGTTTTGGACCAGATCTATGATTTCATTAGTATAGAAAATTCCCTGTGAGGAAACACTCTCTACCATTGCAGATAAGCAACTCTTCTGCAACTCAGTCTTAGAGAGTTGCCTAGGGTGCTCAAGTTGTTGTGATGACAAGCCTAGAGTCTGACAGCCAGGATGTGTCTGTGAACTCACAGCTTCCTGATTCTAAGGATGACTCTCACCGACACCACGCTGTCTCTCTACCTCGGTATGAAATTTGCTGAAAATTAATTAAATTTAAAATTAATTAAAAATGACCCCATACCCTAAAGAATAATGAATAGACTCAAAATTTATTCAAAGCTATATCAGGCTTGAATTGATTATTCTGTCAAGGGAAAATAATCAGTGGCAACTTACCATTACTGCAATGTATCTCTTTTGGTCTTATTCATTAAATGTGGCACTAAAGGGGAAAAAAAGTATAAACTTACATTAAAATTACTTGGTAGGAGGAAAATAATACAAATTAAACAATCTCAAGTATATGAAGATTTAAAATTTTTTTTAAATTCAATTCTTTTTTTAAAAAATTAGTTTAACTATCTAAGACCTTATAAGGAAAATCAGAAGTCCAAAAAGAATGAATGTATATCTCATTCAAATCCCCAAATGTTATTTTATTCAAATAGGAAAGTAGTAAGGAAAAGACTAAATCAAATAACTTGACCAATTTAGATATTCAATTATCTGAAATTTCTTGTCATATTACTCTAAATCTGTAATTCTATGACTACAGCAAGGATGTTAACTTAGGAGTAGCTATGTGGTTCAGTGGATAGTATAGAACTTTGAATCAGGAAGGCCTTAGTTCAAGTACTGTCTCAGACACTTTCTAGCTGTGTAATCCTGGTCAAGTCTCTTAACTTGTCTCAGTTTCCTCATCTGTAAAATGGGGATTAATAATAGCACCTATCTTACAAGGTTTATTGTAAGGATCAAATAAAATAACATGAAGTGCTTTGCAAACTTTCAAGTGTTATATCAATGCTAGGTAACATTATTATTGATCTGGGATCGATGGACAAGGGAATCCATTAATAGATTGAACTTGGAAAAAAATACATTTTTATTTTCACTAGTCTCTAACTGAAATTTAACATTTCCTTCAATTGTCTGAAAACATTATTTTGAGAAACTTCATATGCTTACCAGACTGCTAAAGGAGTCCATAATACATGCAAAGAATAAAAAACATTGATCTACAGCTTCTACAATCATCAGAAATACAGAAATTCCATTAACCTTCAAAGTGTGTTCTGGTTCCACTGACATTTGCCAAATATTATCTCTAGTCCTTGTATGCAACCAAAAATCTACTTATAGCTAACTTACGAAAAGGATGAACTCTGAAATCCTTTATAGCTTTAAAACTACAATGCTAGGATTCTGTGAAAACTATAAAAAGAGAACATATAAAGGAGGGGCAAAGTATTAGTACATCTACAATTTCTTTCTTTTCTGTTTTCTTTTTTGTTTTGTGTGTGAGAGACAGTTGGGGTTAAGTGACTTGCCCAGCTAGTGAGTGTTATGTGTCTGAGGCCAATTTTGAAGTCAGGTCCTCTTGACTCCAGGGCAGGTGATCTATCCACTATCCACTGTGCTACCTAGCTGCCCCTACAGTTTCTAATTAGCGCTGCTCACTCATTTTCCTGGGTCAGTTAATTAGTCAACAAGTGTTTATCAAGTTCTTACTACTGTGTGCCGTGCCAGGCCATGCTAAGTGCTGTAATACAAAAAAGGCAAAAAATATGATTTCTGCCTGCAAAGATATCACATTTTAATGAGAGGGACAATGTGCGAAAAACTATATATTTGGAAGATACATAGAGGGTAACCAGAATTTAATTAGAAAGGGAAGGCATTGGGAGTGGAGGAGACTAGGAAAGGTGGTGTAGACAGTGGGATTTGAAGTGAGTCTTGAAAGAAGGCAGGAAAGTTAGGAGGTAGAGGGGAGGAGGAAGAGCTCTTCAGTCACGTGGGCAAGAGAGAGAGTACCATATAGGAGGAACAACAGGAAGGCAGTATAGCTGGATTATAGAGTATGTAGAGGGAAAAAAGTGTAAGAAGATTGGAAAGCTAGGAAGGGGGCAGCTTATGAAGCGTTGATCCTAGAGGTAATAAGGATCAAATGAAGTCACTTCTAGGATAATGATAAGGTCAAACCTACACCTTAAGAGAAGCAATTTGTCAGCTAAATGGAGAACAGATTAGAAAGGGGAGATACTTGAGGCAGAAGAACCAACCAGATTATTCCCAGAGCTCAGGTGAAGGTAAAAGTGACTCTATTTAACAAGAGAATGAATATGATGGGGGAATGCAAGTGAAACTGAGGATGACACCATCCTGGATGAAAAGCCTGGATATCAGGGAGAATAATGGTGTCCTTGACAATAATAGGACAGGTGGGAAGAAGGGAGAGTTTTGGGGAAAAGATACTGAGTTCTGTTTTGGACATGTTGAATTTGAGATGCTTTTGTGATATACAATATGAGATTTCCAAAAGGTGGGAGAGGACTGGGGCTCAGGCTGGATAACTAGATCTAGGAATCATCAGCACAAAGATGATAATTGAACCTCTGGGAACTGATAAGATCAATAAGTGAAAGAGAAAATAAAACACCCAGAATAGAACTTTGGGATAGACCCAGAGTTAGTGGACATGACTTGGATAAAGATCCATTGAAGGAGACTGAGAAGGAACAGTTAGGTAGGCAGAGAACCAGGAGACAGCAATATTACAAAACTCTACATAGGATGCACATTTGGGAGGAAATGATGATTGACACAGTGTCAAAGGGTCAACTTGATTTCTCATCCTGGTTTCCTTTCAGCCCTACACATGGAACAGTACTTATTTTCATAATGAAATAGTTCCATTCTCTACTTACCTATGATATTTTCACCTGCATCCAAGGGAACTCTTGGCTTAATGTTATCTGGAAACAGACTCCTGTGAATGAGATGCCAAATATATTCTTGATCAACAAAATGAACAAAATCATTTTAAAAAACCACACATCTAACATTCCCTATCTCTTTGTGTGTGTGTATGATTATATACATAAAAATAAACGCTCCTTGGATTCCATTTCTCAGTATTGACAGTGTGGCCTCATATAAAAAGGGGAAAAATTTCACCAGGCTTGAGTAGTAGCTGATTTGTAGAAAACTGGGACACACACACACACACACACACACACACACACACACACACACACACACACACACACACACACACACACACAACACACAAACATTTTCAGGTGAGGTCCAAAACTAAGCAAGCATTGATAACAAGGGCCCAGAAGAATCCATTCACTCAAGCACTAAGGAAAATTTACAAGCTTTGGAAGCAGAAAACCTCACATAACAAGCTACTAGTTGGATGAAATAAGCTATGAAACATAGTTTGAGAAGAACAGACACATAATCAAAATAACAAAAGTGTAGCTAGAAAGGATAAATAGCTAACATGTTGTCAATTAATGACTGAGGACTCCTATTTGAGAAATGATTAAGTATCCTGGAGGATGGGTGGTGTTTTTGCTTCTTTTTCTGTTGAATTCCTAAATACAGAATCAGATTGCTCCTAAAACCTTGGATCTTGACAAAATATATAGCAAAGATATAAATATTGTTCATTCTTTTATGAGAAAGGAATGTTTTCCTATTAATATCAAACTGAGTCCATGTTGATCATGAGAGCTCATTAACTTGCTCTTCTATCTTAAAATCATGGTTCCTATTCAAATTTCAAAGAACATCCTAAAAACTTCCCCTCTAACAAAATTTACAAAGTTATTTACTTAACTACTCAAATGGGTCTGTGATCGCAGCCATATAGATCACATCCATATTGCCTCTATCATATGATTTGATCATAACCCATCCAGGCCTGCTTATCCTACGCAACTGTTTTCCACACTCTTTCCTAAGTCCACAAGGCACTCACTCAACATGCTGGAGGCTTTCTCCTGACATTGTAAACATGCCATGGAACGTTAGGGCTGTCCATCCATTGTATCTCACTCTTACCATTTAACTAGTCCATGTTCTTCCCACATATATTTCTTTGATTAATTCTTTGCACCAGTCCTTCCTCAAGATTCTTTATTTGTTACATGATTAAGTCTGCATATGCAAAATATGTGTCTCTACCTTGCCCTCTGTGATACTCACTTTTAATTCTTTGGAGACCATTGTGTTCTGTGACTTGTAGCTAGTAGCTATCCAAAACGACTAAGATATTGTCATTAAAAAGATAGATCTTTGTTTTGGGGAGACTTTTGACATCATTAAAGAACACTATAATTTACAAAAGGAATACAATTCTCTCTCATCCTCATGTCTAGTTCTCTCCCAATTTGTTGTCCTCTTATACTGTCTATCCAAGAAACATCCACTGATGGACAAGTACTCATTAAAATGTTTGTGGTTGAAGCCATAGAGGTGATGAAGCCAATTAGCAGTCATTGAGTCATAGGGTTAAAATCCATTGGTTGTCCTCCAGGCAATCTTAGTTTTAATATCCCACAGGCATGTAGCTATGGGAAGATGTATACAGATATTGGATAAAATTGTAGGCTAATTTCTAAACTCCCTTTGCACAGCATCATTTAAATATTCTGCAATGTCCTTGGGCTGCAAGTTGTTCTTGATTCTAATTTTCATTGGGTCACTGAGGAAGTAATAATAGAACTAACCTGAGTCTGTTGACTTTAACAGCCTAATCCCATGAAAGATCTGCCCAAAATTACTACAATTAGTAAAAGAAAGTTCATTCCATCCATCTTATAGAGGAAGTATAAAGGTTCAGTACAGGTTCTTTGAGAAAAGCTCTTGTCATTCTTTTTAATCACTCTATCCAAGAGGCTAACAGCAGGCGGTCTTGGTGACCACACCATTTTAAAAATGAAATGAGATACAGAGAAAAAGAAACACATTAACCATATCTAATTTCTGCCACAGTCCCAAATTCGATCATTCTACCAAGTCTACTTTCAATAGCATGCTTTTCTAGATGATTCTTAAAGTGGTTGAAGGAAGCTTTTCTTTCAATGGCCCCAGAGCATGCATCTAGCTAACCAGAGAGTTTAGAAGGAAAGCAAAAGAAAGATGGTCTTCTCTTCAGACCCAAGAGCACACACTGAGAAAAAGCACTATTGGATTGGGAGATTATAGCCTTAAAGCTAGAAAGAACCTTTGAGGTGACTGAGTCTAACCCCACATATAAGGTCACACAGATAGTAAGAGGTAGAGCCGTAATTCAAATCCAGGTCTTCTTACACTAAAGTCTTTGCTCTTTCCACTATACTGTGTTTTAATGTTTTATTCTGCAAAGTAACTGCATAATTTGAGGAGAAATTATATTCACTTACAATGGAATTCCTGGCATGGAGATATTTCACTATCTAGTGATGACTGTACAACTGAGTCTAAAAAGCTTGATGATGACCCATATGTAAATCCTGTGATTATTATAAAGGTCCAATCTAGCATACTGAGGTAATTATAACAAGAAATGGCTACCTATTTCCAGGTCAAAACTAAATCACATTTTACCCAAATCTATACCGAGAAAATACTACAAATGTACCTCATTGGAAATATGCTCCTGAAAAATTGAGTGTAAACTGAATTTTTATCAGTGAAATCACATTTTAATATGCCATGTGGGCAGGGGAGACGAGGATTCTTTTTAAAGGTGTTAGTCAAGTCTTTGTAAAGCAAATAATTATCTCTAATTTAAAATTTATATTTTATATTGGATCAGAGAAGGAGAGTTGGAGGGTGATTCCAGAGATCAGTTAAGTAGAGAAACTGAGGCTTAGAGAGGGTAAATGAATTGCCCAAGACCATGTAGATAATAAGAAAGACCTTAGAGTTGAACACAGGTCCTTGGATATGAGAATCAGTACCTATGCCACTATATATACTGCTACTCTGGCTTACCCATTTTATGGGTGTTTTATGGGCAGCTAGGTGGTGACAGGGTAGCTAGGTGGCACAGTAGATAGAATGCTGGGCCTGGAGTCAGGAAGACCTGAATTCAAATTTGGCCTCAGACACTTACTTGCTGTGTGACCCTAGGCAAGTCATTTAAACTTGTTGCCTCAGTTTCCTCATCTGTAAAATGAGCTGGAGAAGGAAATGGCAAACCACTGCAGTATCTTTGCCAAGAAAGTCCCAAATGAGGTCACAAAGAGTTGGGCATGACTGAAAGGACTTAACAACAACCATTCTTCATTCTTATAACAGAGCTCAAAAGTACCAGTTTCAAGGTTTGCATTTGGTCTGTTTAGATGCTAACTTCTGTTAATTTAAAGCTCTTAACTTCTGTGCTTAGCCCGTAATTGGCAGCTGTTTCTTGTTAAATCAGATTTTCCCCTCTCTATTCCTATCATGTTGATACAAGCACTGAAAAGTGAAGAAAAAAAGTGGAATCTAAGTAGTGTAATCTCATAAAATGTTCAACTTCTCTGGGGGTATATTTTTTTTTACCTTTTCTGGGGCAGAATTCCAGGTGATAAAAATTGCAGAGTTGAGGGTATTGATAAATGTCAGTGTTAAAATAATGCTATCTAAGAACCCCTCCATGATGCTTTCAGGGTATCAACTTGACCAAGGGTGAGATGTATTGTTTGATAAAAGACATCCTTACCTGTGATTTGCTTGTTTCAGAGGTGAATCTCTCAAACTATTCTTGTGTTTCCTACAAAAGAATAAAAAAGAATTAATACTCACTTTGAAGTTAAAAGTGTCATTGAATAGGTAAGAAGTAAGAATTGAGTCCTGGTTCCTATTACCTCCCTCCTAGGAATAGAGTTTAATCATTATATTATAGCTTGCTGAAATTTGAGAACTTGGGGAAAGCTGGCTGGTGAGAAAACTCATCAAGAAAAAAAAAAAACCTCAACATCAAATACTTTAAAAAGCCACAGTGCAAAGAGCACTGGACTTGGAGTATGGAGGATCTGAATTCAAATCCTATGCTTGTCTGACCCTACACAACTCACCATCTTTCAGGTTCTTTCTCTGTAAAACAGGGATAAGGATAGTACTTCAAAGGGTTTTTGGTAAGCATCAAATAAGACATTATGTGAAAAGCACTTCACAAATCTTAAAAGGGCTATAATAAATATCCTTTATTATTAGTTATCATATGGAATGATCACTGATTATGTGGATTTCAGCTGAATTGAATATATGACAACCCTGAGGAATAACATTTTAAAACTTAGTTTCCAAACCCCAAAAGCTTCTACCTTTGACCAGGTTGCTAATTTGAGGGAGGAAATTTATTTGTTTCTTAAAATAGTGACAGTTTAAAATAACTTCTAAAATATTCTCAAGGGAAGTTTATTAACCATGTAAAGACTTAGATTATTATAGGAAAAAGTCTGGCCAATCATTCTCCTTCTCTCCTCAAACAGGCGGACCACAAGTAGTTTTAAACCAAGGAAGATTTCCTGATATTAAGAGAGGAAGAGGAGGCCTGAAGGATGCCTGGGAGGTACTATCTTTTCAGGAAGTCTTTTCTTCAAAGGATAGATTTTCACTTCTTTCAGAGGGCTGAGGTAATCCTGATTTGAAAGTAGAGGGATAACAAACTCCCCTCATGTTTCTCCATAGTAATAGCTAGCATTTACATAGCATTTTAAGGTTAAGTGGCTTGCCTATGGTCACATTCACCTCAATAAACATTTATTAAGTACCTACTATGTGCCAGGCACTACCTAGTTAATTGTCAGAAATAGGATTTGAAGCCGTGTTTTCCTTATTCCAAAGCCAAGGATAGCTTTGGCTGTGCTAAACTACCTAGGCCAGTAGAGAAGTTGGAAAAATTATAGATCATAGAATGTTACAGCACAAATACGTTTCATTCTGTCATCCTGTGTTCACAAACCAACTAAATAAATCCAATTATTCTTTCAGTCTGATCTTGACACGTCTTGTTTTTTCATAGCCTCTCTGATGTTCCCCCACCTCAGATGTATATCAGAATGACACCACACTGCAAAAATTTCATTCTAAAACATTGCCTTATAGGGGAATCAGGGCTTATTGGCTCTTAGATAGGAATGATTTGCAACTTGTCATCATATTTTTATCTCACTTTTTGAAGCTCACTGGTGTCCTCATGGTTTGCATATTTTGGAGTGAGTTATTTCCAGAGCATCATTTTTGGACAGTCTCCTTATTTCTTCTCCTCCCTTTCCCCCCCTGCCCCCTGCCACTATGGGTGAAGGACATTTGAAATCAGATGGTTCTAGTCTAAAGAGTTTCTGATTACATACCCTTAACATGCATCTAGCCTAACAACATAGCTCTCCTATCTCAAGAACGAAAACTTCTCGGCAAATGCATAAACATATTACCATTCTAAAGAATAGAGCTGAATCTTTTTATTTGTGAGTTGTAGTTCTTTGAATAAATTTAAGAGAGACCGGTGCTGGGTCAGAACTGAACCATGTTTTCCCATAGGATCTGCCACATAATAAAATTCATGCATAAAAGCTTGAATCCCAGGCGAAGTTGATGGGAAAAGCTAAGAAGAAAATGGAACAAATATAAATCTGTTAGTAAAGAACATCAGAATAACTTGTAGAAAAAATACAAAATAAAAATGTAATGCTCTTGTGGAATGCCATATAATCTAGTATTTTAAAAAGAACATGTTTTAAGAATAATAGTCAACAAAATCCACTTCTGAATGGTTATATGATGTTCTCTATGGAACTGAAAATAGTATTCAGTTGAGCAGGAGGATGAAGAGAAATCTCTTATGGTTGGAATTTATTTAGGATAGAGTAAGTAATGCCAATAGAACAAAGGAAGTTAGTGTCTGTTCTCTCACCACCCTTAGTGTTAAGGAATTGATACTGTTGCTTTTTTCTTCAGCACACAGCCTTTAAGTCCTCATGCCAGAATCTTGGGAGATGTTCCTTACATTCATGATGCCTTATCTCACATCATAAACTCCAAGAAAAGTAGAACTAGGTCTGCTTCACTTTCTTTGTTTTATGTCCAGAAAGAAAAAGTACTATTAAATATGGGCATTAATTTACTGCTGGATAATGATGAATTTGGAGTTTATCCAAATTGGTATTTATGATGGAATCCTCTTTGAGGAAAATACTTTTCCTCTGAATTCATCAGAGAAGCTTCTCCAGCCCAAGGCAAATTACAGAACATCTTTATTAATAAAATTAGCTAGTAAGTTGGTAATCTTTTTAGGTCCCAAAATTCATCAAGTAAAAGATATTAGCCTTCATCTTTACTATACTACCATAAATTGTGTTTTAATCCATCATTTATGAGAAACTAATTTATTAAAAATTGTACACGTTAAATTAGTAATTATTAAATCAATGATTAACTTTATTTAAATGACTAAGTTTTGGATTAGACCTTTCAAAAAGAGTTTGCATCAACAGGGTCATTAGAAAATTCAGATTTATTAATTTAGTCAATTATGAAAATGTAGTGTAAAAGAGAAAAAGAGGTATTGAGAATGCACATATGGATATGACAAATTTACTTTTGATATTGTTCTGATGGTTATCAGAAGTTAAGATAAAATGTCATCCTTGTACTAGAATCAATTTAGACATTTTGGAAACTTTAGCCACTCCCCTTTTCCCTCTACCCAGTTTTGATATAAAGTTAGACAAACTGACATTTGTCAACTTTCTAAAGACTTCTCTAGATTAATTTGACATTTACAATCTTCCACAAACAAAAAGAGGGAAATAGGCAATAGATACATTTTGGTAAAGTAGTAATTCCCCCAAATATTAGTGGAAAACTTTAAAATTCTTCAACATTTCCCATGAGAAGAGAAATTTAAAATCTGCCAGCTCCATTAACTCTATATTTTCCTACCTTTGATAACTCAAGTATTGTTTTGCAAAATCATATACCAGAAAATGTATGGATCCTGCCCATTTTGTTCTTTGAGAAAGAGAAATTGAATTTTTAAGGTTTCAATATTTTTAAAGAAATATTGCATCTGCAGCCTGCATCTGACCTTATTTCAGGATTATACACACATATGTATATGTGAATATGCATATATGTTCATATATACATGCAAACTTATATATGTAAATATAAAATATAGTTATTCTATTATATACCCAGCAACATAATACCAATATGATAGCAATAGAAAAGAATTTAAGTGGCATTATTTTTGTTTTACCAGTTGAAACTGTCCCAGATTCTTGAGTTCCTTTATGAATGTCATAATTGAATTCATCTCCTCTAAAGAGAGGCATGGATTGAATTGATTTTGATATCCTTCACCCTGCATTGAAAATGCAAACAAAATTATTTAAATGTTCCAACAAAGAAATTAAAATTATTAGTAGCTACCTACTCCATTATCTGTCTGTCTGTCTATCTAGTCAATTAATAAGTGAACAAGCCTGGTATAATGGAAAGACATAGATTTGGTGTCTGAAGACATGGGTTCAAATATCATCTCTGATCTTTAAATGTATGCTCCCTTTTCAAATATACCTGCATTTTCTTTTGAAAATTGAAATATCCAATTTTAATATTTTTAGGGCCTTTTACAGATCAAAAGTCAGTCAGCCAGTTAATAAGTTTACAATGTGCCAAGCACTATGAATACCAAGAAAGAAAACAAACAGTCCCTGATGTCAAGGAGCTCAGTTCAGTGGGGGAGATAACTTTCTTTTTTTTAATTTAAATTTATTTATTTTTAGTTTTATTTAGTTTATTTATTTTTAGTTTTCAACATTTACTTCCATAAGATTTTGAATTCCAAATTTTCACCCCAACTCACCCCTCCCCCACCCCAAAATGGCATGCATTCTGAATATCCCTTCCCCTAGTCTGCCCTCCCTTCTATCTCTCCCCTCTTCTCTTATCCCCTTCCCCTGTAGGGCAGGATAGATTTCTGTACCACATTTCCTGTATTTCTTATTTCCCAGTTACATGTGAAAACATTTTTTTAAACATGTGTTTTTAAAACTTGTTCCAAATTTTCTCCCTTCCTCCCTCCCCACCCTGCTTGAAAAGGCAAGCAACTCAATATAGGTTATACATATAGTGTTTGCAATTATGCAAAACACTTTCATAGTAGTCATGTTGTGAAAAACTAACTCTATTTCCCTTAATCCTATCCTGCCCCCCCATTTATTCTATTCTTTCTTTTGACCCTGTCCCTCCTCATAAGTGTTTGCTTCTGATTACCCCTTTCCCAATCTGCCCTCCTCTCTATCATTCCCCTGCTCTCTTGTCCCCTTCTCCCCCTATTTTCCTGTAGGGTAAGACAGGTTTCCACATCCAGTTGAGTGTGCATGTTATTCCCTCCTTAAGCTAAATCCTATGAGAATAAGATTCTCTCTAACCTTCACCTGTTTTCCCTCCACTGTAAGAACCTTTTCTTTTCTGTTTTATTTTGTGAGAAATTTACCCCATTCTACCTCTCCCTTTCTCCTTCTCCCAGTATAATTCTCTCTCACCTCTTAATTTTATTCTCCAGATATGACCTCTTCATCTGAAACTCATCCTGTGCCCTCTATCTATCTATCTATCTATCTATCTATCTATCTATCTATCTATCTATCTATCTCTATATACATACATATAATTTTTTCCTTCCAACTACCCTAATGCTGACAAAGGTCTCATGAGTTATAAATGTCATTTTTTCCAAGCAGGAATGTAAACAGTTCAACCTTAGTAAGTCTCTTATGATTTCTCTTTCCTGTTTACCTCTTCATGTTCCACTTGAGTCTTGTATTTGAAAGTCAAATTTTCTATTCAGCTCTGGTCTTTTCATCAAGAATGCTTGAAAGTCCTCTATTTCACTGAATGACCATTTCCCCCCCTGAAGGATTATACTCAGTTTTGCTGGGTAGGTGATTCTTGGTTGTAATCCCATCTTGTTTGCCCTCCAGAATATTATGTTCCATGCCCTGTGGTTCCTTAATGTAAAAGCTGCTAAATCTTGTGTTATCCTGATTGTGTTTCCCCAATACTTGAATTGTTTCTTTCTGGCTGCTTGCAATATTTTCTTCTTGACCTGGGAACTCTGGAATTTGGCTACAATATTCCTAGGAGTTTTCCTTTGGGGATCTCTTTCAATGGGAGATTGTGGATTCTTTCCATTTCTATTTTGTCCTCTGGTTCTGAAATATCAGGGCAGTTTTCCTTGACAATTTCTTGAAAGATGATGTCCAGACTCTTTTTTTGATCATGGCTTTCAGATAGTCCAATAATTTTTAAATTCTCTCTCCTGGATCTATTTTCCAGGTCAGTTGTTTTTCCAATGAGATATTTCACATTGTTTTCAATTTTTCATTCTTTTGGATTTGTTTTACAATGTCTTAATTTCTCAAAGTCACTAGCTTCCAATTGCTCTATTCTAATTTGTAAGGAAGTATTTTCTTCAGTAATCTTTTGGACTTCCTTTTCCATTTGGCCAATTTTGCTTTTTAGGGCATTCTTCTCCTCATTGGCTTTTTGGACCTCTTTTGCCATTTGGGTTAGGCTATTTTTTAAGGTGTTATTTTCTTCAGTATTTTTTTGGGTCTCCTTTAGCAAGCTGTTGACTTGTTTTTCATGATTTTCTTGCATCACTCTCATTTCTCTTCCCAGTATTTCCTCTACTTCCCTTACTTGCTTCTGAAAATCCCTTTTGAGATCCTCCCAGTCCTGGGACTGGTTCATATTTTTCTTAGAGGCTTTGGATGTAGGAGCTTTGACTTTGTTGTCTTCTTCTGGTTGTATGTTTTGATCTTCTTTGTTACCAAAAAAAAGATTCTATGGTCTGACACTTCTTGCAAGGTTTGCTCATGATCCCAGCCAATTACTTGAGTTATAAACTCTTTGTTAAGGTAGAAGTCTGCTTCCAATGTGGAGAATGTACTGTCCCAAGCTTCGGGGGTTTGTATAGCTGTTTTCAGAGATACTTCTAGGGACCTGTAAATTTTAAGTTCTTCCAAGGTGGTATGATAAGAGGTGAGGTGTTTACTCCTTTCCTGGTCTGTGCTGTGGTCTCTAAGTGACCACAAGCACTCCTTTCTGTCCTGGAACTGTGAGGAGGATTATCTCTGTATATCCACTACAAGCTCCACCACGTCAGCGCTCCTCCTTGCCCCAGGACCACCCCTCAGAACTATGACCCAGATCCAAGCATGAGCAAAGCAAGAGATTCCTGTCTCAGCACCAGCAAAGAGATCCCTGCAATTCACCTCTGATCAGCCACTCGATTCCCCCTCAGTCTCTGGGCCAGAAACTTAGGACGCAGCCACCACCCTGGGGCCATGCTCGCTGAGGAACTGAGGGTGAGACCTAGCTCCTCTCTCACCACACTAACAGATTTTCCCACTGACCTTCTAAGTTGTCTTTGGCGTTCATGGGTTGAGAAGTCTGGAAACTGCCATAGCTACCCGCAATTCAGTCCTCTGAGGCCTGCTCCTGGTTTGCTATGGCTTGTGCACCCACGCCAAACCGTACTCCCCTCACAGCCTGGCATGATATACCTTTCCGATCAACCATACAGATTGTCTTGGGCTGGAAATTTGTTTCACTCTGTCTTTCTGTGGGTTCTCCTGCTTTAGAATTTGTTTAGAGCCATTTTTTATAGGTATTTGGAGGGGTTTGGGTGAGAGTTCAAGCAAGTCACTGCTCTCACTCCGCCATCTTGGCTCCGCCCTATACCTAAATTTTTTGAGAGTGCTATTATTCGTCTAGTCACCCATGTTCACAACCTTGGAGTCATCCTTGACCTATCTCCTCTCCTGTCCTCCTCTTTCATGTCCACTCAACTGCCAATTTTTTTTCAGTTCTACTTCCACAACATCCTTCTAACTCATGTCCTTATCTCTACTAATGCTATATACTAACCTAGTTGGTGTCTTATCACTTTTTGCCTGGACAATGGAAATAAGTTCTTAATAGGCCTCCTTGCTTCTAAACTCTCCCTTCTTTATTCTATCCTCCACATTTCCATCAAAATATTCTTCCGTGGAACTCCCATGCTCAAAAATCTTTGGTGGCTCCCTATCACTTCTAGGATAACATACAAACACATCAGCATAGAATTTAAAGTTGTCCATGCCCTGGCTCTAAACTCCTTTTCATGCCTTTTTTTTTTCATACTGTTCTGCTTCAAACATTCTGCACTCCCACCAAACTGACCCATTGGCCTTTTCCTTTCCTGAACCTGACTTTCCATGTCTGATTTCTGTGCTTTTGTTCAGGCATACAGGCTTGAAATACCCCCTCCTTTTTCCTCTACTCCTTAGAATCTTTAGCATCTTTCAAAATTCAGTTCATTTGTCTGGAATATTTTGAGTTGACTGACATGAAACTCTCAATTAATAAAAACCTTGAGTTTTAGAATGTTTTAAAGAAAATACTGTTTTATTGGTCTAAGGAGGTCACAAAATAGTAGAATAAAATAGTAGAAAGCAATAAAAAGTAAGTAATATAGTTGAATGAGAACTGGATTGTGTGTTAGGAAACCTTGATTCCAATTCTATTGCCACTCAGAGCAAGCTACGAATTTGCTTTATTCTTCAGTAATTGTGTGACCCTTAGCAATTGATTCACTGAGTATCTTCAACACGGAAGCTGTATGAAGAGACAGCAAACAAAGCTAATGCATTACAGGGGAAATAGAAAACTGGGGGGGGGGGGAGAATTATAGCAAGCTTCTCTTTTAAAGGCCTTATTTCTCAAATAACTGAGCTAAATTAATACAAGCAAATCTCCAATTAATAAAAGTTCAAAACATCTGAGCATGTAGTTTTCAGAAGAAGAAATCAAAGCTATTAATAGTCACATGAAAAAATGCTCTAAATCACAATTTATTAGATAAATGAAAATTAAAATAACTCTGAGATATCACCTCATACTTATCAGATTGACTAACATAACAGAAAAAGAAAATGACAAATGTTGGAGTGGATGTGGAAAAATTGAGATACTAATGTACCGTTGGTAGAGTTGTCTAACCATTCCAGAAAACAATTTGGAACTAAACCCAAAGGGCCATAAAAGTGTGCATACCCTTTGGCCTAGCAATATCATTACTAGCTCTACATCCCAAAGAGACCAAAGAAAAAGGAAAAGGACCTATTTGTACAAAAATATGTATAGCAGTATATTTTGTGGTAGCAAATAATTGGAAATTAAGTGGATGCCCATCATTTCGGGAATGGCTGAATAAGTTGTGGTATATGATTATGATGGAACACTATTGTGCTATCAGAAATGATGAGCAGGATGCTTTCAGAAGAACTGGACTCAAGGTCAATCAGCAGAGACCTAGTTTTCAATTTTACCTCAGACATTAGGTATGAAATGTTGGACAAGTTATTAAAATTCTCAGAGACCCTCAATTTCTTATTTGTAAAATGGGCATCATAACACATACAAATTACCTGACCCAAATGGTTATTGTGAGAAAAATGCTTTACAAAGCTTAAAGTATCTAATACAACACCATGCATATAACTGTTGCTTAGAAGAAGTCATTTCATTCTGTTGGGCTTTTATCTGCTTATCTGTAAAATGAGGAGATTAGACTACATGACCTTTAATGTGCTATAGTTGTTGTTCAGTTGTGTCTCACTCTTCTTGACCCCATTCGAGATTCTCTTGGCAAAGATACTGGAGTGGTTTGCCATTTCCTTCTCTAGCTTATTTTACAGATGAGCAAACTGAGGCAAATAGGGTTAAGTGACTTATAAATATCAAAGACCGCATTTGAACTCAGGAAGAGTTTTCCTGACTCCAGGTTCCACACTCTATTCACTATCCCACCAAGCTGCCCCAGTCCTAGATTCTATGATTTGTCAAGTTCCTACCACGTGTAAAACACTTAAGAGACTTCCTTTGGAGATTCTTTTGAACTAATTTAGGAAATAGATGAGACACTTTCAAATTTGAACATCCTGTAACAAGGTAAACCCAGGCTAAACATCACAGTTTTCTTGGTGGTCAAGGAGATTTTAAATAGCAGGTTTGGGATGCAAGAAGAGCATTCTCAGCCTCGCCCCCTCCATTATAATATGTTATTTGCCAAAAACAAAGGCAGAATTTATGACTTTACCATTTTGAGGTCCAAAATAAGTAGACATTCTCTATCAACATCCTTTTTCTTCCTCACTCATTGTTTTGATACTTTCTTGGGAACAGAAAGTACCAAGATAACCACTACTTTGTGGTTCCAAGCTTTAATGACAGCAGGTTTGGTAAAATAAAAAAGGAAATAGCACCAAGTCAAAAAAGACTACATGAAGCTGACAATCTGGGGCCTTAGCCCTTCTCTCATAAGTAAATCAGTCCCATTTGAAACCTTCAATATTTGGTTGTTATCATTTTCATATTCATTTTATGCTTTCTAGATTTTAACAGTTTTTCTATTGTGGGATTTAGAAAGAGAGAAACTTCTATGTGGAACCAATGTTAAGTTTATTAAGTAAGTAGCACCCTAGTATGTGGCACCGTGGATGGTAGCATTTAAACTTTCACCCTGCTCCGATATTAGTAACACTGTAAGCAAATGTGGATGAAAATTTTAAAAATAGATTTAAACCTCTTCATTTAGCCTCTACTTATTCTGAATTTGTAGTAAATAATATTGGTCTGAAATATGCCTTTTCTTTTTTCCATGATGACAACAATAAAAAGGTTGGCTAAACAAATTGAATGATATAAATGGAAGGGGTGGGGGGACTTGGAAAAATACTTCAGAATCATTTTCATACATTTCCTGAGAAACTCTTATTTATCACAAAGAATTCATGAAAATTACTCACATTCATATGTTACTTTAAAGTTTACAAAGCCCTTCCCTCACAACAACCTTGGGAAGTAGATAGTATAAGTACTATTGTGCCCATTTTACAGATGAGAAATTGAGGGGCTCAAAAAAGGCATGTCATTTGTCCATCATCACACAACTAATAAAAATCAGCCACAGGCAAGATCCAAACTGAGGTTTCTCCTAATTTTAGGGCTTCCCTCCCCCCATTAAAACATCTGCCCAAATTATAACATTATAAATAATTATTTTGATACTAATAATTTTTATACCAACTAATACTGTTTATCTCAAGTTCTTGCTAATACTTTGGAAATCTCCATCAGTAAGCAGAGTAATAGGAGTGCTGAAAGGAACCTCAAGACCCTCTAATACAGTTCTCTAATTACTTCTTCCTGTCTATATGACCTTAAGTCATTTAGGCTTTGTGGCATCAGTTTACTCATCTGTAAAATGAGGGGGTGGAATTAGATGACTTCCATTCCAAGGTCCCTTTCAGCCTTTAATATGTGATAGTATGAATCTTTGATGTGGAAATCAAAACAAGATGAGATAGAAATGGGGAATGTTTGGAAGAGGAGAAGGTTTTGGGGACAAGATAATGAGTTTTATACATATTGAATTTGAGATGTCTCCAGGAAGTCCAGACAATTGGTAATACTGCCGTGAAGCTCAGAGGAGAGATTAGGGCTGGAAATTATCTCAGTTTATCTATACACATATATGTGTGAGTATGTATAGATATGTGTATATATATAGACATATGTACACATACACATATCTATATACACATATGTGTGTACATCATTTGCATAGAGATGGCAGTTAAACCATGTAGGCTGAGAGAGAGAAGGAAAATGGATAGAATCTTGGGGAACATCCACAGTTAGGGTGCATGATATGGATGCTGAGAAAGCAAAGGAGATTGATGAATAGCTAGACAGGTTAGAGGGGAACCAGGAGAGAGTAGAGTAATGAAATCCCAGAGAAGACAGGAAAAGAGAGTCAGCAGCATCAAATACATTATGTAGGGCTAGAAGGATGTAGACTTTGCAAAGATCACCAGATTTGGCAAGACAAATAGATAGATGTAAATATGTTTGTCTTAATCTGTACTTTAATGTTTTCATTTCTTTATCTGGAGGTAGGTAAGATGTTTCATCATTAGTCATCTGGAATTGTTGGTCATTATGCTGATAAGAGTTTCTAATTCTTTCAAAAGTTGTTTGTTTTTACCATATTGCTGTCACTGTATAAGTTTTACTTCTAATTCTGTTTCCTTCATTCAGCATAATATCATACAAGTCTTCCCAAGTTTCTCTGAAACCATTGCTTTCTCATTTTTATAGCACTATAGTATTCTATCACACACACATATATATATACACACACACACACACATATACACACACACATACACACACACACACACACACACACACACCACACACACACACACACACACACACACATATATATATATATAAATATATAAAACTTGTTCATCCATTCCCCAATTTATGGGCATTGCCTCAGATTCCTATTCTTTGACCTCAAAAGAACTATACTTTTGCACATTCTTAGAGTTTCTTTGGCTTAGGACTAAACTCTTTTTTAATCTACCATCCCTCTAATTTGTCTCCTCCCTTCCCTTTTCCCCTCCTATTTACTTGTCAATTAAAATGAATTTCTGTAACCAACTTTGTGTATGGGTACAGGGTGTGTATTTTCCTTTTCTTTAACCGGTTCAGATGAGGGAGAGGGTGAAGTGTCAGTTGCTCCCCCTACCCTCTCCTCCCAGTTTGTATAGATAGCTACTTGTGTACCCTAAATGTGTGAGATAATTTTCCCTAACCTCCCCCCCCCATGTATTCCTCTTCCCTCTCTATTCTTCTAGTAAGCTTATTAAGACAACAGAACCACTCCCAGGTCTTATCAATGGAATACAGACCTAGAAGTGGTATTGCTGGGTCAAAGGGTATGCACAGTTTTATAACCCTTTGGGCATAGAGTCAAATTGCTCTCCAGAACACTGGACCAGTTCACAACTGAACCAACAGTTTATTATTGTATCTATTTTCCCTCATCCCTTCCAGCATTTTTCATTTCTGATGGGTGTAAGGTGGTACCTCAGAGTTGTTTTAATTTGCATTTTTCTAATCAATAGTGATTTAGAGTATTTTTTTCATGACTGTAGATAGCTTTGATTTCTTCTTCTGAAACCTGCATGTTTATATCTGTTGCTGACTTGGGTTTTGATCAGAGTTACAACAGAATACTGCTGGAGTAAGACCTTATCAGCCATTTAGGAAGTTTTACTGCTTCAGAGTGACAGAACTGTAGATTCCCCAGCCCTGGTAATTCCTCTGTAGGCTAGGCTAGATGCTGGAAGTGAGATCTCCCTCTGCTCCTCGGGTCTGAGCCAAAATGCTGTTGCTTACTTCTGAACTTTCTTCCATCTTTGTACACAGCCCAGGAATGCCATCCCTGTGAGTAGTTCCGCTTCTCCATCCACCCTTGATCTGTGAATCAGAACTAGGCAGTGGGCATCTAGTGCGAGTTGGCATCTGTCCCTGTTGCAGTCTGGTATGGGTTTGAGGATGTCCCACATGGGTCTAGGACCCCCTCTTGCTCTGGTACACAGCCTCTTCCTGGCCATTGGAGTGCTCTGCATTAGTGCGGTATGCTCCTGGCCTAAGGCCCCAGTGCCAGCAGACCTCTCTGTCTTCCAGTAGGGAAGAGGGGTGGGACAAAGGACTCACTGTGACCATTTCCTGAATTTCCTTATCAGTATTAGGTCTGGTATATTTTCTAGGTCTATTTGGAGAAGTTATGTGGAGTTCAGATACATAGCTTCCTACTACTCCACCATCTTGGCTCTGGCCTTTCCCCCCAGTTTTTTGTTTGTTATTATTGTTTGTTTTTATTTTTAGGATGGGATAGACATTGAAAATTTTTTAAGGCAGTGGAAAAGGAACTATTATATATGGAGAGGTTGAAGATGAGGGGTAGAGATGGAATGATTCAGGATACAATCTGCTGGAAAAGACCAAAGGGGATTGGATGAAATGGACATGTAAAGTGCTTGGCCTTGGCAAGGGGAAAGGCTACCTCAGTCCGAATTTAGAGAAAAGGAGGAGATAACAGGAGTATCTATTATGTAGCACAGCATTATTATCCTCATTTTACAGATAAAATTGAGGGTCTTAAAGAACCCAGCTTGTATTAGAGCAAGAATTAAAATCAATTATTGTTATTATTATTAATAGCTAACATTAATATTTCTTTTAAAGATCACCTATTCAGCTAAAGACTGACTACAAATGAGGAAATATTAAATATACGAATATAATCTTACCTTAATTGTATCTGATCTGTAAATTCTTTGAAGTGCTTCAGAAAAAATGGAAAATGAAGACTCATTGGCAAAAAGAAAATTGAAAGTGTCTTTTAAAAGGAATTCTTTTGTATTTTGGTCCTCCAAATCAAGATTATTGTCAACTTGAAAATCAAAATGCTCATGCACCTTTGAAAAAGAAAAAAATATATTTGTCAAATATGTTTATATTAATTTATTTTAGTGCAGTAGAATTATTCTTCCCAAGATGAGTCATTTTCTATTACAATTAAAGATCAGAACTGACCTCTAGTGGTCTATTTGGAGGACAGCAATCTCATACAGATCAGTACCAAGTTTTTAAAATACATAATTCTTACATTTGTGACAAAAAAAAAATGAATACATCATAACTAAAGATAGGTTACCATTCAGAGTACCTCTTTGGTAGTAAGATACTTTATTCCATTATACACCAACTGACACCCATGTTTGATCAGCATAGTTAAGAACAGAAGAAATTACTTAAAGTGTATAATGACTTTAGAATGGCTTTAGAAAACTTTAGCATTATGAGATTAATGATTTCATGCAGTTTACTGAACTAAATGTGTTAGTTACAGGAAATGAAAATGGTCTCATTATATAAGATTCTAAAGAACAGTCTTGAGTGTCATAAAATTGAGGGGAAAATTTTAAAACATTTTGATCACTTGGGCTGTTCAAGCTGCCTGTTTTGAAAATTTGGGTCAACATGTGTTTTATTCCTTTCCATTCCTCCTCCCCTTAAAAAACATGGCTCCACTCAGACAAAGCCAATGAACTGTCCTAATTTCCTATTTCTAGAAATAATCCCTGAGAGCTGTTTTAGGATGGCACAAGAAAAGGAAAAAAATCAACTAATTAGGTGGAAGAGAAAGAGACTGTTATTAGAGTAGATAATATTGGCATCAAAGTACAATTCACATGTGTTTCCCACTAGGAAAATTAAATTCCAAAGAAGTTCAGGGCTATTCAATTAAATTGTATAGCCCAAAATTAATTAATTTATATGTAAATAGTTACTTAATAAGTTTGGATGTTTATACTTATGTTCGGTGTTAAATTTTCAGTAAAAAATATTTAACTATTTAAAATATATAGACCAACTCAAGCCTAAACTTCAGTTTGAGAAGATTGAAGCAGCTGTGGATATGTTAACCCACACTCAAACAAATGGGTTGGATTAGCTGCTATTTTTGAGTAAGAATGCTACTGTTCTCCACTAATTCAGAGACTACTTTAAAAAAATCCATTTTTATAAATAGCAGTTAAAGAATAGTTAAGAAGCAGTCATTTCTCTAGGCTTGACTGAAATTAATCTTAGAGAACATTCACTGCACAGAAACTATTATCTAAAAGGTCACCAGTTTTCTTAATTGCTAAAACCAAAAGCCTTTTCTTAGTTGTCATCTTTCTTGACTTTTCTTCTTTCTGGATATTCTACTGTCCAGTGGTTTCTGTGGCACAGTTCTTTCCTGGTTACCCTCCTACCAGCCTGAGTTTTGTTTCTTGGTATTTAGCTATTCCTTATCAGAATTCTTTAGAAGCTACATGGAACTGTTGACAGATTTCTGGATTTGGAGTCAGGGAGACCCTGCTTTAAACCCTACCTCCCACATTTAATAGCTATATGATCTTGAGCAAGTCACTTCACATTTTGGGGGTCCGGTTTCTTCATCTATAAAAGAGGGAGTTGGGCATGCTGAACTCTAAGATCAACTTTCAGCTCTGAATCTGTGATTTGTAAATATATTTCTCTGTGTATATACCACTCATCTGGTTCCCACTCCAATACAATTTCTTCATATAAGAGTATCTCAGTGCCTTGTACAAAGAAGCTACTTAATTAGTTTCATCAAAAAAATGAACACATGAATCTAGAATCTCTATGCCTATACTACAAAAGAATTAAATCATTAAAGATTTTGAAGCTAGATGCTAACTATACATTTGCCATAAATTCAAACTAGACACACACACAAAATCTTAGAGAAGATCAAATCTTTAGTCATGAAATAAAATATCTGCTTTTAACATACTTACCTGAAGAACTAATGGGTTCAAAGAGCTGCTATAATAAATATCAAATGTTAAAAGTTGAAAACATAATCTGCACCTGAAACAAAAATATAGAATGACATGGAAAATGTTCCTTGTTCAACATATTTGATCTTTTGGGTATCACCCTATTAAAAATTATAACCAATTGAGTACAATTATTTTTAATAAATTAATAAAGGGAAAATAGGAAGTAATGGATTCAATAATATACAATGACAAAATTTAATTTAGATTTGAAAATTGTTTTGACTGTCACATTGAATTGATCTGAAAATGTATAGCATTCCACAGATCCAACATTGGAAACCACATTGTAAAATTGACTAAAGAGAAGCTAGAAATGTGTCCAACTTCCTTATCTGGGAAAATAGCAAACTTTCACTATACCATATTCCAAAGATTAAATACAGAGATTCCTTTAATCACGACATAAAATATTAATCTAAACTGAATGTTCCTTTCATTATTTGTCATTTTAAATTTTCCCTGGAGAGGCAGAAGCAATTTTGGTTGGAATTTAAGGTATATAGTACTTGGCTACAAAGGAATTAAAGATACTGGATTTTGTAAACACAGGTTTTTAATGAACTATTTTGCTTAATTAGATACATCCAAATTGCTGAGATTTTCTTTATAAAAATCAAAGCTCAATAAACATGCAAACTATGGGGGTTTTTTAGCTTAAAGAGGACAAAATTGAAGCAAAAAACTCTATAACTTTACTTATTCAATTTATTTTCATCATTGTTGAACATACTCTGATATTTGATGAAATCTACTATATAATCTAATATGTACATATAAATTGAGTGTAAATATACTCTAAGTATGGTTGCAATAGGCTGTTGCAGCATCATAGAACTTCAGAGTTGAAAGGAACCTGAATGGACATCTTAGTGGGATCCATACTCTTAAAGTATATCCACTATAATACACACTTCTGGTGAGCCAACTACCTCCTGAAACGCCCATTTCACTTTGGGCTTATTAGGAAGGTTTCTTTTTTTTTTTCTTACATTAAGCTTAAATTTCCCTTTCTAAAACTTCCACATATTGTTCCTTGTCCCATCATAAATATATTTCAAAGAAGCACAAACTTTTTAATGATGAAAGTAAATAAGCACTTATGAAGCAACTACTATGTGCCAGGTACTACCCTAAGTGCTTTACAAATATTATCTTATTTGATTCTCACAACAACCATGGGAGGCAAGTTTTATTATTCTCATTCAGGCAGGCAGTTGTTAAGTGACTTACTACACAGCTAGTAGGTGTCCAGGGCTGGATTTGAACTTAGATCTTCCTGACACCAGGTCCAGCATTCTATCTCCTATGCTACCTAGCTGCATGATTATGCTGTATAATTCTAATGATGAGCATTTTCTATAAAAGCCAATTTTAGGGTGATTTTTGTTTTGTTTTGTTCAAAGTAACTAGTCTGCACCTGGGGCAATGAATATGGTGGAGTAAGGGGGTGGGGAACTCATTTGGTATGTTAATGAGGGGAAGAAACTATCCTGAGATTGCAACCACTGTGGGGTTAGAGTGGACAAGGCTGGAAGCATCCCCTGGAAGAGAGAACCAAGCAGCCAGGGAAGCAGAGATCCCAGATCTGCCCCTCTAAATAGCCCACCTTGATGCAAAAATTCAACCTAATGAAGGCCCTGGTTTTGTTCTATTACTTACCTTTTGGCAGTCTTTGGTCCCAGAGTAGATGTTTCACTGAATGCTTCGGCTGCCAGCAGAAGTTTACTTATAGCTTCCTTCATATTATCAAAGGCCTGAAGAGGAGAACTGACCCGGAGAAATGTCTCAAAAAATGTTTGCAGCTGTGAACAAAGAAATAGATTTATTTGTTGAAACTAACAATCTCAAACATTTTTGCACATCACTTGAAAGGTGATCATTGAAAGTATTTCTCTAGAAATTAAGCTTTCTTCTGCTCTAAACATATAAAAAAACTCATAAAAATAAGGGAAATCATCCATCTTATTTGTCTTTCTAATACATGTTTTGATTTACAATGCATTAACTTCATAATATCCTTTGTGATTATTTCTCAAAAAATTCCAAGAATGTGGCCAAAAATGACAAGCTGTTTAAATTTCTCTTAATTTGCATACCATGATTATAGTCTCATTTTACTGCATCTAATCACATAAACATCACAACTAAACATCTCCAAATAAAAGTAATTTGAGGGAGGGAATGTAAAAAAAATCAACACCATCCTCTACACAGTTTTCTATTATGGGCCTAATCACTTGAAGTAAGATCTCCTGCCTTTTTTTTTAGAACTATGTTTGGCCAATAAATAGACAGAAAGACTTGGACAAAGTTCCTTTTTATTTTTTTGCATGTGTAGAAAAGTTCAAATTTGTACCTTTTATTTTACTGTAGCAGACCTGGAAATCTCTACATCTATGATCACAGACTACTATTTTCACTTGCTCAGACTTTAAAAAAATATATATTATCTCTTCAGAACACTCAACCTTAAGTCTCAAGTCAACATGTCTGAAAAATAAAAAATAAAAAAATCCTGTGTTACTGAAGTATAGACTTTCTCTGGTTAAGCACAATATAAGAAAGGTGAGTAAGAAAAATCTTTCCCAGAAAAATATGGTAAGGAACCTATCAACCTTTTTAGAAGAACAAACTAAATCCCTCTTTCCTATGTAATACTGCTTATCTCCTTTCTTTGATAACAACAGGCAAAGACTAACATAGGTTGCAAGAGGGAAATAGTAAATATGAAATGTTATCTTTAATTCACACAAGACAAAATTTGCCCCAAGACAATTAAGCAGGAGATTCAGAAGTTATCACCAACTGAAAAATAGAAACTTAATGAGATGTGAATTTTATTAGCAGAAGGCAACTAGGATTCTCTTCCTTCTCCCTTTCAACCCTCAACTTCACTAAAGAAAAATAATGTACTAATTAAGTGGCCAAATGAAAAATAACTAAATACTAACTTTAGAAATTTGAAATTTGAAGAAAAAGTAGAGTTATTGTTTTCAAGGTAATAGTTATACACCACATTTCACTTTGGTATTTAAAAAATAATTATTACAACCATTTAATGTTGTTAATGTGTTACATTATTTAACAATTTAATGTTATTAATGTGTTACAACATTTAGTCATTTAAATACTTTCATAATATTTATATAAGGAAAGTTTAATAGTCTTAGAGCAACAACAAGGACTTGTATATACCATGTGATTTTATAGTTTATCTTCAATTTAGTGCCTAAAAATGTGTAGGCCTAATATGTGTAAGGTCCTGTGCTACATACTAGGGATAGATAAATGAAAAGTAATGCACTCTCTACATTTAAGGAGTGTAAAGTCTATTATTAGGGAGTATAAGACATATACAAATGAATTTAATGAAAAATAGAATGTGACAAAAGCAAAGAAAGGGTATATAAAAGAGACTATAGGATATTTAGGGAGAAAGAGATGACTTTCATATAGAGAGATCAGCTTTATGGAGGTAATGAGTAGAAGGATGGAGGTCACCTGAACTGGGCCTTGAAAGAAGGGAAGTATTTAATGGATGGAAATATGGAAGAAGAGTATTCCAGTCAAGAAGGACCCAGTGAATTAATCAAGAATTTATTAAGCATCTATATGTGTGAGTCATTAAGCTTGGCACTGTTCCAAAAAGTAGTGATTAATGGATGGTTATCAGTCTAAAGTAAAATATCTTTGTGGAGTGAAGGGACACATCTTTGGTCTTATACTGTTCAGTATTTTCATAATTGACACAATTATAGGTATAAAAGGTATGTTTATCAAATTTTCAAATAATACAACACTGGGAGGGATACTTAAACACACTGGTTTACAGTCAGGCTTCAAGGCCCCAGAGTCTGGATCCAAAGAGGTTGACAAGTTAGAGTGATGGACTGAATCTATTAAGATTAAATTGAATAGTGTGAGTGCCAGGTCATAGAATCACTGATTCTCTGAGTCAGACGAAAGCACTGATACCACTTGGTCTAAACCATTCTTGAACAATAACAACTTACCAGACAAATTGTCATCTAGCCTTCATTTAAAGACTTTTATTAAGGGGTAATCATTACCTTCCAAGATAGCCCATTCTGCTCTGAGATAAGAATGATTAGGAAGCCTTACATCAAGTCTGATTCTGCCTCTTTGTAACTTCCACCTATCCTTCTAGTTCCTCCATCTGGAACAACTAGAACAAATCTTAAGTCTCTCCCATGTGACAATCTTTAAATATATGAGGATAGCTATCACACATAAAACTAAATAATTTCATTTCTATGCTAAGACTCTCCAATTCCTTCAACTGATTCTCTTACATCATGATGTCAAAACCCTTTACAACTTGGTTTTTCTCCTTCAGATACTCTTCAGCTTATCATTATCTTTTCTAAACTGTAGTGCTTCAGATTGGACATAACATTTCAAATGTGGTCTGGCCAGGCCAGAGTATAATAGGACAATCACTTTCCTGGACCTGGACACCATACTTCTCTTCATTTAATCTAAGACTACATTAGCCTTATTGGCTGCTATAGCTTACCATTCACTCATACTGAGTTTGCACACCAACAAAATTCACAAATCTTTTTTCAGATAAATCACCATCTAGTCACAATTCCTTCATCTTTTATTAGTGAAGTTCATTTTTTAAACTCAAGTGGAAAGTTTTACGTGTTTCCATATTGTTTCATTATGTTTGATTTAACTCAATGTGCTAGCTTGTCAGGATCTTTTCAGATCCTGCAATCTCTCATCTGACATGTTACGCATTCCTTCTAGCTCTTGGTTATTTGCACAATTGATAAGTATGGCATCTATGCTCTCTGACATAGACATTGTTAAAAAAATGTTAAACAGGACAGAGTCAAGCACAGATCTCTGGAGCACTTCACTAGAGATTCCTTTCCCAATTGAAACTGAATCTCTTTTATATTCAGACATTTTCCATGATCTTAATCCACCTAACTAGGTCACATTGCCCATAATAGCAAATTCCTCTGATTTACCAGTCTAGAAGCCCTGTCAGAAAAGAAAATGAATTTAAGCTAGAATGACCTGTTCTTGAAGAGGTCATGTTGGCTCTTTCATAGATATTCATTAAACATACCTTTAATAATACATTATTGAATTCTGTTAGGAATCAAAGCCCAAATTACTGACCTATAGTTTTCAGAATCCATTCTCTTCTTTTTCTGGAAATTGGGTCAACACTTGCCCTTTTCCAGTCCTGAAGTTCTCCTGTTTGAATAATCTTTTAAGATCATTCAAAGATTGTGGCTCAAAAAGCACATTCCAGGTCTTTTCAGAAGCCTGGGGAATAATAGTTCATCTTGTTGTAGTGACTTTAACTCATCAAGGGCATCAATATAGGCACTTTCTTACTTCTATCTACTAATCTTAGATGGCGTCTTCATGTTATCCGTGTGTGTGTGTGTGTGTGTGTGTGTGTGTGTGTGTGTGTGTTTTCCAGGTGGAAGATCCTTCTCTCTGCCAGAAAAAAAAGAAGTAAACTCTGCCTCCTTTGAAATCCAGCTCCTTCTCTGATCCTTCTCTTTTTTCCTAATCCAATACATTCCCCACTTTCTTGTCTTTAGTTTCCCTTTTACCTGTCAGTTCACTTTAAACTTCAGTCCGGTTGGCACTACTCCTATGGGACCATGCCAAGGTTCTGTATTCATTCTCCTTTACCTAGTCTGGCTTCTATATTCTGTACATGCCTCTTTAAAACTCTGTCAAAGATTTACCTGTATACCCATACCAATCTCTTTAATCAACTCCATTTTTATTCCTCATCAGAACTGTTTCTCTGTATTTTTATCATTTCGGTCTTGAGACCTTCCTATCCCTACTCTATCCCTTGATTTCCTCATAAGCATATTTTCTTAACCTGCAGTGATGCCCTTTTAACTATCTTGTTTCTTTTGAATAATGTGGTAGCGCAGTCTCCATTCTTGAAGATATTTGAGCAGAAGCCAGTGGACCACTTACCAGGAATGTAACAGAAAAGATTCTTATTCAGATGTGAGTAGGAGCAGCAGACCTCTGAAGTTTCTCACAACTTAGAAATTCTGGGACTATATAGAAGTAGGAAAAAGTAAGACAAGATTAAATAATAGTGGTCTGGTTTAAGTGGAATGTAGAATGTATGAAAAAGACTGGAAACATAACTTGGAGACAGATTGTTGAGGGCCTTAATTGCCAAGGTAAGAAGACTATTTTTATCCAGTGTGTGACAGAGAGAGACACCAAAAACTTCAAACTAGAGGAGTGATATGGTGAGACCTGTGCACTATTGCTTTGACAGTTGTAGAAGACATGGATTTGACAGCAGAGAGAATGCTAGTAGAGAGATCAGCTAGGACACTATTACAGTAGTATAAAGGAACAGTAAAGGGAGCCTAAATCGTAATGATGGCAGTGCAAGTGGAGAGGAGAGGACAGATGTAAGATAATTTGTGGAGGTGGAATTAACAGGACTTGGAAACTGATTGCATATAGCGGATAGTTTATTTCTAAGTTTTAGGGCCATATGTCTTAATTGTAAATGTCAGCACAGCTGACTGTTGGCTGAACATAGATCCCTGCCGTGAAATTAAAGATGTGGATATGAAAAAAAAACATAAATTCAAGGAAATATTCACTTTTTTATGGTCCTTACTGATTTTAATTAAGGTAGTAGATCTTGAAATTAAGACATAATTAACTTTGAAAGAAAGGAACAGGAAAAGAGGCTGAGAATGGATGGGAAGATGTGCTCTAAAGCATTTAGTCCCTCAAAAATAATGGAAGTAAAGCTAATGAGAGA